CAGACTGTGACATTAGTCCACACTCCTGTCACGTCACACGCTCCTGGGTTGGGTTCCAGCTTCGCCGCTTTATCACATCCTTGAACAAGGGGTGCTGAAGATTTCTGATCCATCTCTAGTCAACAGGCAGGATTCACGGAAGAAAATTGCATTTTTTGAACACTTGAGGGTTTTCAGGATTTCTCTTCCTCTGTGGATGTGGCCGGTCCAGGAAACAAAACGAAACAATCAGATCAGCCCAGCTCACCCCATCGGAACCTTAGTTTTATCTTTTTTGAAAGAGGAATAATAAATGTTTTCTCACAGGGCTGTTGTCACATGTACAATTATGTGTGTGAAGATCTTCACAGAGTGCAAAACTCTCAGTTGTTTTTTCCCACAAACTTTGGGCTTTTTTAAAAAGATTTTTATTGGAGAATTGGGGGCTGAGCAGTGTTGGGGAAGGGGAACATTGTGTTTTTCCAGGACCCATCAGCTCCAAGTCAAGTTGTCCTTCAATCTTAGTTGTGGAGGCCGCAAGCTCAGCTCTAAGTCCAGTCACCGCTTTCAATCTAGTTGTGAGGGTGGAGGTGGGGGGTGGGGGTGCGTAGTCCACCATCCTATGCGGGAGTCGAACTGGCAACCTTGTTGAACACTAAGCAATTGGGTCGCCTGTTGGCAATTGTGGCTGCTCAGCTCAAGGTGCCGTGTTCAATCTTAGTTGCAGGGGGGTGCAGTACACCACCCCATATGGGTGTTGAACCCGCAACTTTGCTGCTAAGATCACGCGCCCTCAGCAGCTCAGCAGCAGCTCAGCTTGGGCACAGCTCACTGCCCCATGTGGGAATCGAACCGGTGACCCTATTGCTCAGAGCTCATACTCTTAACTGAGCGACTCAGCTGACCCCAAAGTTTGGGCTTTTTAAGAATTTGTTTAAAATTTTAAAAACTGTGATAAGATACGTAACAAAATTTACCAGCTTAACCATTTATAAGTGTACAGTCAGGGACATTCAGTTCATTCACGTTATTGTGGAATTATCCAGCCACCCATCCGCCGAACTCTGATTGCAAAACTGGAACTCGGTCCCCATAAGACAGCTCCCCACTCCCCTCCTCTCAGCCCCTGACAGCCACCCTCCTGCTTTCTGTCTCTATGAACCTGACTATTCTAGCTACCTCATATAAGTGGAATCATCCAGAATTGGTCTTTTTGCCACTGGATTATTATGTCCTCAAGGTTCATCCACGTGGTAGCATGTGTCAGAATTCCCTGTTTCATGTGAATGGTATCCGGTGTGTGTATATATAACAGTTTCCTTGTCCATTCATCCACTGATGGACGCTTAGGGTGCTTTCACATTTTGGCTCTCATCAGTAATCCTGCTGGGAACACGGCTGTACAGATACCTCCTCCAGACGCTGCTCTCAGTGCTTTTGAGAATACACCCAGAAGTGAAACTGCTGAATCATGGTCATTCTGTATTTGATTTTTTGAGGAACTGCCATGCTGTTTTCCACAGTGTCATATTTCTAAGGCCATACTTGAGCACAACAGGACGCCAGACAAGAATCTCCTGGGTCTCCTGACTGCCTGGGGGAGAGAGGTAGTCCTCCCCGCACCCCCATGCCTGAGAGCTGTCTGGGGGCGTGGCTCTCACAGTCCCCTCCTCACCCCTACCCGACACTCCTCACCCCTCCTGGTTTGGGCCCCGCTGGACTCGAGGCTGCTTCCTCTCTCTGGGCTGAAGCTTATGAGCAGCATCCTTAGTCCTTAGCAGAGAGCCTTTCAACTTAAAATCATCAATCTGGATAAATTACTCAATTACCTGTTTTAAATTGGAATCCAAAATCTGCTAACTCTGAAAATGTGTCCAAATCTCTTAACCATTATACAGTCATTAAAATTAGTATTTGCCTGGACCTCAACATAAAAACCTTAAGATATGGGTTTGACTTTATTTGTCATCTTTATACTTAGTCCTCACCCTTCCTCAATTTGACAATTGTTACTCAGGGCCCGATTTTATGACCCGCAGAAAGGCACATAGGTTTGTCCACTGGATGATGCTGACAGCCTGTAGTGAGTGGCCGGGACCTGTGGCCACTTCCCCTGAGGTCACCAGGTGCTGTCAGCGTGAAGCGCAGTGCCCAGGGCTCTGCAGCCTGAGACGCCTGTCTCTGCTGCCACTCTGGTGACTGCACAGGTCCCCTTAGTTACGTGCTCACTTTGAAGCTCCCTACCCACTCCCACCGTCCCTGTAACAAGGGCCAGCAACAGGGAGGTGGGTCCCTGTATGAACACAAAGCTCATACTGTCCAGCTGTCTGAGCCAAGCACACCTCCCCAGGGGTTGGAGAGACTGGGTGGGGCTGGGAGGCTGGCTGTGTGCCTCTGGCTGGTGACACCTCCAGTCTCCACCAGGTGATGCTGGTGGCACATGCCAGACACCTTTCTAAGGCATTTTGGGGTTCCTTTCCCACTGAGTTGGGAGCGCCTTCAGGGTGGGCGGAAATGGCTTATTGACAGAAGGCTTTGGCTGAGACCCCCGACTCTGGAGCTATAGTCATTGTAGGGGGCCCTTCTTGTGCTGTTGGGGGTCAAGTTGAGCCCATTTAATAGTCACTAGATCTTTTGGGTCTCTAAATGGGGCTTATGTCCCTGGAGTCGAGATGCCTCATTCTCTCCTCAGTTTGATGCTGTAGCCCCATCCTGGTCACTTCACCGTGACACTGGACATCGAATCAATGGGTGTCCGTCTGGAGTCATTCAGCGTTCTCATCAGAGGAGCCTTAGGTACTCTCTAAACAGGGACTAGCCTGGGTGCGTGCTGGCAGTGTGTTTGTGTTATGTAGACGATAGAAAATGGAGGAGGAGGAGGCGTGGGAGAGGGTCCATAGTGCCTAGAAAAAGCCCATAACTAGCTTTGATTAACTGCCTCCACCACGTATCTGTTTTTGCAACAACGGATGACAAGAGGTGGTCTGGAGCAAGACAAGGATATGAACGAACAGACCCCCACCCATCCTAGGGGGTCACACCCTCCAGTGGAAGACCATGCACCACCTTTTTCTGCCAAATCTATATGTAACTCCCTCACCCCACCCAGCAAACTAAGTTCTCAGGACAAGGGGACCAGGGGCCGATGCCTCTCTCGCTCACCTCAGCAAGGCTCTTCCCTGTCTCTCAGTCTCTTCCCTGAGAACATATCACTAAGAAACCCTGCTTGCGTACTAATCAGTTTGCTGATCTTTGATTGTTCACTGCGTTTGCAAGAAGAAGAGAGCCTCCCACACGAGAGCCTCCCACACATTTGTGTGATCATGAGCTTATCAGAAGTGGGGCCTTTGCTTTCACTTTTGTGTCCCGGATATTATGGGCCACGTGTGTCTGGTCATCGTGCAGACACACAGCAAGTGACTGCATCTGCAGAGCTGAGAACAACTGGGTCTTGTTCCAAATCAGCCAGGGGAAGACTCCTTGGTAAGAGGGGGTGGATAGGAGCCCCCCACTCATCTTCTCATCCTCACAACAACCCTCTAGGAAGAGGGATATTCTCCCAATTTTATAGACGCAGGAAACTGCAGCTCAGAGAGGTTGGGCAAGGGGCCCGAGGGCCCCCATTAAGCAGTGGCAGAGCCAGGCTCTAACCCAGGTTTGTCTGACTGGTTCCTCCCTCCCACTGCGGCCCTAAACAGTGGAGGGGGAGGGGGAACCTCTACATGGCTTAGCTCAGGTTCGGGGCTACCTGAGACAGGAGCTGGTGACCCTAGAACGAAGGTGGGTGTTGGAGTGATTTGGAGGAAGCAGAACAGGTGGAGGCGGGCAGGTGAGGTCAGAGCCTCTGCTGCTTGTGTCCTGGCTGCCTGGAGGCTGACCCCAGGGGGCTGCTGCTGAGGCCGAGGAGGACAAGGGATTTCTCTTGAGGTTGGAGGAATCAAGAGACTGTTTCACCCACCCTGTGTCTGAGTGGCAGGCCCTGTGGGAAACCGAGGCCCTAAGAGGGGAGTGACTTGCCCCAGGTGCCATGATAGGAGACACGCAGGAAGATGGCCGGGTTTAGCGTCCCTGCCCTCCCTGGCCCTCAGTTCAGGCCAGGAGGTGGGGGGTGGAGAAATAAAAGGTGGTTTCTGATGATACAAGTAAAGGGTTAATGGGAGTAGGCTTGTGAGCTGGCAGGATGGGACAGGCAAAGAATTAACAGGAGCAAGCTTGTGGGCTTACAGGAATGAGCTTAAACATTAACTGCTTGGTTCTGACTCCCCTGGCTAGCACTGCACCTGCAGGCTGACAAGCACCTTACGTCCATCATAGGAGGGAACAGAACAGTTCCCAATCGCAGCAGCAACCCCCTGCAAGCTGACATCCATCATAGATAGGAACACGACAGTTCCCAGGAGAAGACAATTGTAACGGCAGCCCCCCTGCAAGCTGACAAGCACCCTGCATCCTGCTTGGAAAAATATAAAACCCTAGCTCATCGGTGCAGGTGTCCCCCATCGAACTCTGCCCTGGCAAACTTCTGCCAGTTCCAAACAGAACTCACTCTCTCCCTCTTTGACTTTCAATAAATCTTTTCTCTGAATACCCTTGTAGAGTCTCACAAATCCTTTTACATTCTGCGAACCACCAGGGGTTAATTCTATACCAAGACATTTCAGTGCAGAAATCCAGGAGATCAACTCTACCTCCCCATCTCTGGGAGCATAACTCTACTTCCTCTCCCGCTGGGGGTTTCCCTGGGTGACTCCAGAACCTCTCCCCGATCCCGTCCCTTGAGGGTTGGAAATGGACGCTTCCAGGCTGGGGTTACTCTCAGGTGGATTTGAGAGTCCAACCTCTCTGTGGGTTGCAGAACCCCATTGCCAGACCTGGTGTTAGGCTCCTTTTTATTTCTCGGGGGACAGGCGAGTCACCTTGGCCACACTCATAGCGGGCACGGGAGGGACACATAAGTGCCTCTAGGACATCCGCCACTTTAAAGAAGTGTCCCGTGACGGGATGACCTGGTGGCAGTCCAGCACTCTAGCACTAGGTTCTGCCAGGTACAAGTCAAAGACCTGCTCATTGGACAGGCACACAAGTCAAAGACACACAGTCTCCCTCCCCGCTGGCCACTCCTATAGTTCTTTTCGTGACTCGCTCCCCATTCTTCTTTTGCTTATTTGGATCTCTGTCGTCGTCTCCACGGGTCAACGGGTCTTTGGTCGGTAAGTGATACACCTGAGACGTCCATGGGGCACCGGGAATTCCACGGGCAGAGTCCACAACCCTTGCTTGACCTTAGGTGTGGCGGGGATGCCCTCACAGCTAATGGTCATTGCTTTGCTCTGTTTCCCCGGGGTACGTGGCAATGAGCACACTAATTCCGTAACTCCCAGGTCAGAGACTTGTTCGGAGGATCATGGGGGACACCCCTCGATCTCCTAGCCCAACTATCACGAGACCGCCATCCCTAGCACCATAGGCGGCGCCTCCTCTGTCCCTCTAGACTCCCCTCTTGGCTGTCTTCTCAAAAATTGGACAAGATTCTACCTCTCCTCTCAAAAAGAAAGCTTAAGCTGCTGCTGCCACAACCTGAGGCTGAGGTAACGAAAGAACAAAGGGGCACTTTTAAAAAGAAACACAAGTGGCTAATCTCTCAAGCAAAAACCTCCACCGTTTTGTTCCAGCCTCTTTGAAACTGTTCTATTAGGGACAGTTAAAAGATCCCAGGTCCCTCCTAGATCTCCTCAAAACCCACCTCCTACCCTTCCTACCTCTCCTTCCTCAAACCCCTCCCCGCCTTCCACCACTTCTCCAGCTCCCCCTCCCTGTTCTAACCCAGCTCCCTGTCCTGCAGGCACCATGCGTAGTGGAGCTCATTTTAGACAGACTCCATGCTGCCTCTCCAGGAGGTTGCAAACGGAGGGGCCAGTACAGTTAGGGGTTCATGTCCCTTTCCCATGGCAGATCTAGCTCAAATAGAAACACAATTAAGAAACTATTCTGAGGATCCTTCTAAGTTCTTTAAGGAATTCCAGGGGATAACTATGGCCTTTGATCTTACTTGGCAAGACATTCACATCATTTTAACCATCTGCTGCTCCTTAAGAGAAGAACCGTATCTGGGCTCTTGCCCAAAGATACGCAGACAACCTAGCTGCTCGGAACCCAGGACAATATAGGGTTGGGGTCAAAGCTATTCCCAATCATGATCCTGATTGGAATTTCAAGCTGGCCAACAGGGCCGAAATAGACAAGATCATATGGTCACCTGTTTTATTGAGGGCATGAAAAAAAGACATTATTAAACTAGTAAACTATGAGAAACTGAGGAAAATTACTCAAGGACCAGATAAAAACCTGGCCCTCTTTTAATCCCACTTGGCTGACACCCTCCAAAAATATACTAACTTAGATCCTTCTAGCCCCACCAGTATCACTATCCTTGCCTTGCATTGTATTGGACAATCAGCTCCAGATATCAGAAGGAAGCATCAGAAATTGGAGCTGGGTCCTCAGACTCTGCTCTCAGTCCTCCTAGACAGCCTTTAAGGTCTTTACTAACAGGGACAAGGCAGAAAGGGAGTCTAGGATACGGAGGGATAAGGGAAAAGATCAGAGAAGGGCTCAATGAATGGCTGCTGCCCTTGCCAGCGCCCCGCCCTCACAGCCTTACCTGGGTTCGGGCCCACGAGGAGGGAGGCCACCAAAGACGGGCCCAAACACCTGCTACAACTGTCATCAGGAAGGACGTTGGAGTAAGGCTTGTCCAAGAGGGCGCCCCCTGGCTCATGTTCTCTTTGCAAAAAGGAAGGACACTGGAAGAAGGACTGTGCCCTCTCCGCTCAAGGAGGGAAGCCATCCCGACTCCTAAAAGGCCAAAAGGACGTCTCCTCCAACCAGCTGCCAATGTCGGTCATTGCTGACTACGAGCCAGGCGACTGCCACCTCGACTGACGGGCCCGGGATTCATCCAGGCCCCCTCTGCAACACCACAGAGGCCGAGCCCAGGGTAACGCTTGACGTGGCAGGTAAGAATGTGATCTTTCTTCTTGATACGGGAGCCACATTCTCTGCTCTAATTCATCACCCTGGCCCGACACTTCCCTCCAGCCTCCTCCTAACAGGTATTGAAGGCAATCCCACCACCTGCAGATGGACCCTGCCTTTACCTTGTCGCTTTGGGTCCCTTGCTTTTACACATAGCTTTCTAATTAGGCCTCAGTGCCCTATACCCCTTTTAGGGTGAGATATTATACAGAAACTACAAGCTTCCCTCCACATCTCTCCTAACCCTACTCCAATAGCTGCTCTGCAGCCTATTTTCGCTTCTCAAGCATTTAACCCTAACATGTCTGCAATTCCTCCCTGGATCAGAAAACAGGTCAACCCCATTGTCTGGGATCAGGGCACTCCCGGCAGAGCGTTTCGTCTAACTCCAGTACAGATTAGGCTGAAGGACCCTACCTACTTTCCTGTAGGCCCCAATACCCCATTAAGAGGGAGGCTCTACTTGGGCTTCAGCTAACTGTCAACAGGACCCTCAAGCATGGGCTTTTAATTCCCTGCAATTCTCCCTGAAATACACCCATTTTACTGGTCAAAAAGCCATCTGGGCAATATCGGTTAGTTCAAGACTTAAGGATTATTAATGAAGCAGTAGTTCCAGTTCACCCTTTAGTCCTTAACCCTTATACCCTACTGGGACTAACTCCCCCAGGGACTGAATGGTTCACTGGGCTGGGCTTAAAGGATGCCTCTTTTGTATTCCGCTAGACCCTCAATCTCATTTTTTTTTATTATTAAAGAGTTTACAGGGAAATTGGGGGGAGAGGAACAGCGTTGGGGAATCGGGAAAGGGGAACAGACAAGTGGCTGTCCTTTTGTTCTTCAGTCTAGTTGTGGAGGACGTCGCTTCACTGACCCATGTTGGTATTATCATTGTGCTCTTCCCGGGTGACGCAGTCACTCGCTGGCCATTGGATGGTTGCTCACAGTGGCTCATGGCAGCTCATGCTGGCTGCCAGCCACTCACAGTAGCTCACAGCAGCCCACTGCAGTAGGGGCTGCAGTCTACGCCTTCGCCAGTGACTCACATCAGCCCAACTCTGGGTTGAGCTGTTGTTCACCATCTTAGCTGTAGAGGGCGCAGCATCACTGGCCCATGTGGGAACTGAACCGGCGGCCCTGCTACTCAGAACTGGCATCCCAAGCCAACTCTTAACCAATGCACCACTTGGCCAGCCCTCAATATCCATTTTTATTTGCTTTCACCTGGACAGACCTGCACATTCAGGTCTGCAGCCAATATATTTGGCTTCTGAGACAGTCCTCACCTTTTTGGCCAAGCTCTAACTGGAGACTTGAGGGACCTTTCCCTCCCTGAGGCTATGTTTCTTTCCCTTCAATATGTTAATAACCTCCTTATTTGTAGCCCGGAAAGAAAAGTTCAGATCAGCATACAGAAACAACTTTAAATTTTCTAGCAGAACAGTCCTACTGAATATCAGCCCCAAAGGCTCAGATTTCCCAACAGCAAGTGACTTACTTGGGAGAACAAGCCTCTAGACTTAGGGAAAAGGTGGCCTGGGGATGCACGGCCTGGACTGGCACTTGGTCTTGGGCCTCCTGGCTTCTGCCTCTCACAGGCCCTCTTGTTTCTTTTCTCCTAATTCTAATCTTTGGCCCCTGCATCCTTAATCTACTAACAAAGTTTATTTCCCCTTGCTTACAGACATTTAAACACCAACTCCTCCTCCACAACCAGATTATGCTCCTGCAAGACGTCCAGCCTGTCCCCACAAGAAACCCTGAAATTACCATCAGCCCCATAGACCAGAGTTCCAGCGCCCAGCCATCTAGTCCACTCCCTACATGACACTGCCTGGATTTTCCAAGGCCCAGTTGCTCTCCGTCCCCAACTGGCAATCTCTTAGGTAGGGACAGCTCTATGCCCCTACCCAGCTCTGAAACAGTTACGGAAGATGGACCCATTTCCCAATTTCCAAAGATTTTTCATTGCCGATTGGAGATGGGGGAATAATGAGACAAGTAAAGAGTTAATGGGAGTGGGCTTGTGAGCTGGCAAGATGGGACAGGCAAAGAGTTAACAGGAGCAAGTTTGTGGGCTCCAGGAGTGAGCTTAAACATTAACCACTTGGCTCTGAATCCCCTGGCCAGCACCACACCTACAAGCTGATAAGCACCTTATAGCCATCATAGGTAGGAACAGAACAGTTCCGAATCTCAATGGTAACCTTCTGCACACTAACAAACACCCATTATAGGTGGGAACAGAACAGTTCCCAATCGCAGCAGCAACCCCCTGCAAGCTGACATCCATCACAGATGGGAACAGGACAGATCCCAGGAGAAGACAATTGTAATGGCAGCCCCCCTGAAAGCTGACAAGCACCCTACATCCTGCTTGGAAAAACATAATCCCAGCATTCCTTGTCATCGGGGCAGCTGTCCCCCATCAGACTCTGCCCTGGAAAACTTCTGCCAGTTCCAAACAGAACTCACTCTCTTCCTCTTTGACTTTCCATAAATCTTTTCTCTGGATACTTTTGTAGAGTCTCCTAAATGCTTTTACATTCTGCGAACCACCAGGGGTTAATTCTACACCAAGACAGTCTCCTGTCCTGATTCAGAAAGATGGCCCAGAGGTAGGGACTGAGAAGGACAAATCACAGGACATTTGCTACATGATCTCAGCCTCGTCATCTTAAAATAAACACCAAACTGTAGTCGTGAGTGCAATTGCAGGAGTGTGGCTTACATCTGTGTGTGTACCCAGACAGAGAAACACCTGGATATGTCTGAATTATTAAAACCGCGTTTCTCCCCTTAAATACCAGCGTCAGAAAGTGTTGGCCTCCACTCTGCCCTCCAAGAGCTGTGTGACGCTGGGCAAGTGACAACCCTAGGAACTATTTGCTCCTTCCTCTTACCCATCTTTTAAAAATTGGTTTCAATCTTTTCATGTCGATTTGTAGACTTGGGTACTGTGGCTACTCGGACACCTTTGTCACAGGACGTGCTGCCCGTGGTAGCTCCTGGCGGCTCCGTGAACTCTGACTTGGTTTATGGCGCTCTTTGCAGTATTTCATTTTAAGAGGTCAAATCAATCCAACTTTTCCTTTATGGCTTCTAGGATTTGTGTCTTGATTAGAAATATTTCGTCAGCTCAACATTTGTGTTATCATTTGTTCTATTCTGTTTCTTGTTTGTTTGTTTTTCATGTTCACAGTTGGATCCCTTAGGGATTGATGGATAAATTTTGGTTATTTCCTCTCCTCCCCCCCTCCTCCTTTTCGTCCCCCTCCTACCTAATGCAGGACATACCGTATTTAATGCGTACCCACAGCAGTAAAAAGGAAATGACGTTTTGTGTGCCTTCAAAGGAGCCGTCATGAACACGAGTGGGAGTGGGCTGGGTGGGGGCCAGAGCTCCAGCCCTGGGCCCCGCCACCCGGGGGGAGGGGAGGTTTGGAAGATTGGGTTCAGGGCACCAGCGTCATTCGGATTTTAGCCAGGACCCATGTTTGTTCCCATTTCTCTCTTCCTCTTTCTCCTCATATAAAAATATTAT